GGTTCCAACCAATTTTTCAACGATTTTACAGACACTATCAAAAGAGCTGACGACCCAGCCGAGTGACGCACGCAATTTATACAATGTAAAAGTGGCTTGACAAGAGAAAAATGAACAGTCTTCAAAGGTGTTATTCATACGTCACCGCACCAATGTGACCAGCCACCTCAGCATCCTTCAAGTTCTCCAGTCTGTGCAGTAACCTCAATTTCCCTGAGTCCATTTTTGACAGTCAATGATCCTTCCGGAAAGGGAGGGGCAATTTATTTCTTATATTTAAGGGTCTGAAGCCCTGTGATCGACAGGTGTGGAGCTGTACCCCATCCCAGGCTTCCCACAGCCACAAGGAGCCCAGTAGGGCGTCTGCTACCTGCCCACCCAGAGCTGCTACATTGCTGAGGCTGTTAATGCTGAAGAAGAATTCGGAGCCGGAAGTGGAGAAGAATGACCCAACCCGCAAGCAGCAGGTCTGAAGAACCTGGCCAGGAGAACTCTAGAGATGCCCCACAGGGCACAGCTCGCCCTTAGGCCAAGGAGAAGGGCCCCTTTGCTCCACTGCAAAGCTGAGTGGTTTTAACTAGTGTCTACAGGGCATCCCGGCTATAAACCACCCCGGCATACAGCCGTTCTGAGATAAAGTTGTTAACATTTGTTGGAACTTATGTGTTATAAGTCCTCCCATTTCCCACTCTTAAGTCATGCAAAAAATAATAAAAAAATACAATTTGCACACATGGAAGTCAGCCAAGGGAAAAAAAATGTTTCAAGTTTTTAGGAAAGTATCTGGACTGATGGTGAGGAGGTCTGTATGTGTTTTTAATGGATTTTAGGGCAGGTCATATTTTAACTGAATGTGGCCCATATGATGGCACAATCTGAATCATAGAATAATCATAGAATCATAGAATAATAGGACTGGAAGGGACCTCGAGAGGTCATCGAGTCCAGCCCCCCGCCCTCAAGGCAGGACCAAGCTCCGTCTACACCATCCCTGACAGATGTCTATCTAACCTGTTCTTAAATATCTCCAGAGAGATACCCTCTACCCCAGGAAGCTTCATTGCCCCTCTGTGGTCTGTGCCCCAAACAGGCTGTCCATTCTCTATCCTACCCAGCTTCAGGAATCAGTGCCACTGTAATCTAGATATGACACAGCCCGGTATTCTGCCTGCCCACCTGACATGCACCCTGTGTGCCCTTAGACCTTCCCTGGTAAGAATCCCAACATCACCCAGTTTTCTTGATGGCAGACACTTGCTTTTATTTTTACTGCCCTTGGTGCTCAATTCCTCTTTAGAATCAGGAGGCACAGGGGCTCCAAGGATATGTCTAGACTATATCCCTCTGTAGCCAGAGGGATGTAAATTAGACATACCGACATTGCAAATGAAGTGGGGATTTAAATCTCCCACAATTCATTTGAATAAAAATGGCCACTGCTTTTTGCTGAGTCAGCAGTTTGTCAGCAAAAAGTGGCTGTCAAGATGGGGATCAGGCGACAAGAAAGCCTTTGTCGGCCGATCCCTTGTGCCTCCTAAAACGAGACCCACAGAAGGACACAGTAGGAAATTCATCTTAAAATGTAATATTTGTCTAAATTACCATTGCCTGTAGGGATGGCTGAGGTGATTTCAACAGAGAAAAGCTGACAGAAGAGTTACTGGTGCCTCTGACTCACAGAACAATAGATTCAGAAAAACCAGAAACACAAAATTTAAGGAAGGGGAGGGGCCTGTTCTCTTGGGGTATGTCTAATTTACATCCCTCTGGTGACAGAGGGATGAAGTCTAGACATACCCCAAGAGAACAGGCCCCTCCCCTTCCTTAAATTTTGTGTTTCTGGTTTTTCTGAATCTATTGTTCTGTGAGTCAGAGGCACCAGTAACTCTTCTGTCAGCTTTTCTCTGTTGAAATCACCTCAGCCATCCCTACAGGCAATGGGAGGCCTCCAGTTGAATCTGTAGAGGCTCATGGCTGGTGTAGATGAGGCCAATATAACTAAGTCTCTGTATGCTCATTTAGGGTGAATCCTTGGCCCTGGTGGGAGTTTTGCCAATTGCTTTCAATGGGACCAGATTTATTCTTTGTGGTTATCTTTCAGCTCCAAGTTGAAATAATCAAAGATTTCATTCAGCCACTGAAAGAGACTGAAGGAAACCCTGAGTTTCTAGAGCGTCTGGACAGTGGCCGTTGGAGATAGGATTTGTAATCCCATTTGCCCTGGTTTTGCTCTCAGAGAGGACAGTATCCACCTGGGATGTCCCCGGGAAGGGAAAATGGGAGATCCCCATCTGGCCAGACCGCTGGCCCCACACTTCCGTCCCCATCCCCCCTTTTTGCATGCCGAGCCTTGGGCTGCACTTCTGAACAGGGCAATAAAACTGCTCATTTCGAAAACTAGAGCAAACCAGGGAAAGTCCTCACCAAACCCAAAAGGAAGTGACGGAGACCCAGAGAAGGACACAGTAGGAAACTAGAAATTCATCTTAAAATATAATATTTGTCTAAATTATTTTGAATACATTTTCTAGTTCCACTGTAAGGGCAGCAAATTTCTTAGTGTTTCAACCAATGCTAAGTAACTCAGGTCTCTCCTGGTGATTTCTTGCCTTGACTGAAATTCTCCCAAAACCTTAAGCACTGATCTTGAGGTAGAAAGAGACACTCACTGAAATCCTGGCCAGCAGAGGGGAAATCTCCTCACGGCGACAGGAAAGCAGGGCCCTGAGAATCAGAGCTGGAATCTTACATGGCAGAACCTGAGTGCGCTTTTCAGCCACCTTTATAACTGCTCAGCACAGTCCCTGCCTCCTCTGCCATTGGCAGTGCTCCCGGACAATTCCCTCGGCTCTGTGAGCATCAGGAAGGGCAGAAAATAGATCCTGGAAAACAACAGCTTGCAAGAGTCCCCTGGGACTGAATAAATGTTCTCCCATTGCCAGGGGCTCTGAATGCCAAGGCAAATGGCAAACTCAGTCTTGCAGCTGTTCAAACTAGCAACTGATGATGTTGTGTGTGTGTGTGTGTGTGTGTGTAATGTATTGTCATCTCCACTGCGTTTGGAGATGGAACCACATGATGTGGGACCAAAGCTTTGTTCAACGGATTGGATTTAAACTCTGCTCCATACAACCCATGAAAATGTAACATTCAGTCTATTCGCTTCTGAAAACTCACTCCCACCCACTTTAGGCCAAATAACATGACCCTGAAGTTATATAAGTCAAGGGACATGGGAAATCCTTCTCTGAGCATTCTGCCATGAAAGGTATTTTCCAGGATACAGAGAACATAGGAACACAAGAACAGCCATAGTAGGTGTCATGGCTCCTTCCCCACTCTGGCACGATAAATGCAGAAGTGGGGGCCAGCAAGTGTACCCCAAAGCCTTATCTACCAGGCTTTGGTATAAAGGTTGCCCCTCAAAATCTTAAAATCTAGATTTTGGGAATAAAACTTCTGCCGCCACCACCCAGGTTAATAAAGAAACCAGGAGAGGGACCATTTGGGAAAATCTCACCCCTAAAATAAAAAGCAGGACACCACCATTAACCAATACCAGGTTAATAAAAGGAAAAGAGAAAAATTTTATTATTCCCACACTATTCCTGTTGTAAGCATAATAACTACATGGAAAAGTAACAAATAATATACTCATGGAGAAACTCCATGGGCCTAGAACTTAGTTACAAAGAAAAGCCAAACCATTGTTTAAAAGTGCACAGACAGCAGATCCCACACCCTAACCATAAAACAATGAAACCTAACAGATTTACCTAAACTTTACCCTACTCACAGGCTGTCTGGGAGCTGTGGGATCATAGCAGGCTTCTCACCATCCAGCAGGTTCTGACCCAACTCACAGGCTTCCATGTTCATGACTTTCCTGTTTGATTTGGTCACCTGCCCCCATTAAACCTACTTTAACATCCCTCAGCTAACATCACCCCGGCCCAGCTTTGCCTCATGGGCAACTACTCCTGCCTTTGTGTTTCTGGCTGGTGCTCTGCCTCTAGCTCAGTGTGAGCTGGTTTTTCACTATTCTCAGATTTCTGCTGCAGCGACAGGCCTAAATTACCCAATACTGGCCTGAGAATAAACTTTCCTGAAAGATGTGATTTTTATTCTCCTATTGGTCTATACATCCAATGGCATTTGAAAGGTTTTCGGGCTGCATTGCCCGGCTCCCAGAAGGAGCCACCAGCTGGGCAGCACAGCCCTGGGCCACAGGAGGAGTCGCAACGGGAGCATCAACACCAGCAGTAACACGGGTGGCCGAAGTAAGCCCCCTGACTTCCCATCACCCTGCCTGAGCACCATACCCTGACTTGTGCCTTCCAGAGCACCACACAGCTCCAACCCTGGGCAAATGCTACTGCCGAGAGGTGGAGGAGGGTGGGGTTTCCGTTTTGAGATAGGGAAGCTACTTCCTCCATCCAAGATGGGTATTCTCTTATTGGTGTGGTCGCCACCCTATGATGACTGCAGTATAACTATATACAGCACTCACTTACCTTCCGTGGTCACTGCGGAGCATAACGATCCCTGCTATTGCACCCTTCCCTTTCCATGTGAAAGAAAACAATGGGATTCTAGGTACACCCCCTAGTCCTGGCAGAGCCAATTCCTGATCTTGATTTCTTTGGGAATAAGAGAAATCTGCATAGCCAAGTTGGTGCTCCTAGATCTTTCCATCCCAGAAGGGATACTAAATAAACAGATTCAAGGACACAGGGATGGATTCATGGACAGATAGACACATCAACTTTCTAAGGAAATATATATTTACATGCCTTTCTTTAGTTTCATTTGGGATTTGACTGTGGGGATGTTGACCTTGTTCATTCCTTGCTGAAGAACCTTACAAACTGAATTCTGGGTCTCCAGCTTCTTTTCAATTGGAGTTTTTTTTAAGGCGTGAAAGAAGGAAAGTCTGGCTCACCCAAGTTTACACTTACTTCCTCCTGTCTCACAGCTGTAAACTCAGTGTCCGTGCATGTTCACCTCTTGATGATGTATTTGCCCAACTTCTCACGAAACTCTCTGGAGTGCAATCCGTAAATGAAAGGGTTGAGCATGGAAGGGACGAGGAGATAGAGGTTGGCCAAGATGACGTGAGTATGGAGAGCGATGCCCTGACCGAAGCGGTGTGTCATGATGGAGAAGAGGCAGGGAATCCAATGTAACAACATTACACAGACATGGGCGGTGCAGGTACTGAGGGCTTTTTCGTGAGCTTCTTTGGAAGAGATTCTGAGAACGGCCCTGACGATGAAACCATATGACAGGGCAATGAGACTCACGTCTAAGACAATGTTTACAATAGTTATCACCAAACCATACACTGCATTGATTTTGATGTCCCCACAAGAGATCTTCGCCACAGTCATAAAATTGCAGTATGTTTGGGGGATAAGGCGGTTGTCACAGAACGGCAGCCTACTCACGAGCAGGGGCATGGGCAGAACAAAAAGAACAGCTCTTATCAAACCTACAACCACTAGCTTAGCTATTCGTGCATTGGTGAGGATGGTGGCATATCTCAGAGGGATACATATGGCAACATAGCGATCAAAGGCCATTATTACAAGGATGGCTGAATGCATAAACTGAACCGTGTCAATGTAGAACATCTGGGTGAGGCAGCCAGCCATAGTTATATCTTTCAAATTGAACCAAAATATACACAGAGTCTTCGGCACAACCAAAGTACCAGTGCTGATGTCGGTGAGTGCCAGCATGCAGAGCAGCCAGTACATCGGCGTGTGCAGGCTCTGCTCTTTGCCTACCACAAACAGAATCAGGAAATTTCCCAACAGGCTTCCCCAACAAATTGATCATGTAGCACAAGGAGAACGGGATGGAAATCCAGCCGTGGGCAGATTCCAAGCCGGGAATGCCTGTCAGGAAGAACGTAAAAGGTTTAGAGAGAGTGAGGTTTAAAGCTGCCATGATAGGTTTGATGCCGCTTTTGTTCTCAGAGATGCTCAAGGTACCTGTGAAGGGAAAGAAACACAGTGATGGGGATAACACACGTTATAACCAATAATACAATCAATAATATGTCATTATTAGAGAGGTAGAAGGGGATAGAACTCTATAGAGACAATAGACATAGTGGCACAAATTGTAATGAAGCCAGCAGAACGGGTAGGATGATGGCAGATGAACTTCAGTGTTAGCACCTGCTAAATGAAGGCCCATAGGAATGGATATATTGTCCTCCTCAAACATTTTTAAAGAGTATAATTTAAGTGGTCGAGTGCAGGACAGGGGCCTGGCTGTTTTGGTACAAGGCTCTGTGACATATTTTTTTGAAGTACAAGCATGACCAAAACCTAAGCAAAAATTGTCCTCTACGAGGAATAGGTTGGAAATTCCTCCAGAAAATGTAAAGCCATGAGGCCAGTTAATGTAGGTTTCACCCTCTTATACACTGCTCTGTGTAGAAATGGACATCATTTTTAAGAAGATATTGCAAATCTACAGGGCTTAATTGAACAGAAACAAGAGGGATCCAGGGACCAGAGAAAATCAAATAACAATTTTTTCAACAATTATTTAACTTCTTGAAAGCTGTGATCATGTCCCCTACAAGTCTTCCCTTTCCTAGAGTATAGGGATGGATGTCATCACTTGGGTCTCCACTTTGCAGGGGGCCTATCCTTTTCTCACAAACTCATCTGGGACCCAAGTTTTCAGACAAAGACTTTCTGCCATGCGGTTAAGCCATATAAGACAGGGGATGGCAGCATCATGGATGTTCACTCTGCCTGGAAACACCTGCGGAAAAAACACTGAATTGGGGAAGGGCTGTCACTGGCCTCAAGGGATTTCTAGCCTAGGTATGGACATGTGAGAGATCCAGGCTAATTTGGTACATGCCTAGCTGCTTTGCTGTGCACACCCCTTCCTGGACCCACAGTACCGGGCACTGCCTGCCCCTCTGTGTATTCCCCACTCTTCGCCCCCAGAACTGTCTGCAGTGTTTGGGCGCCCTTCTAAGCTCACTCCCTGCTGTAGCCTATTAATCATTACTTGCCTTATTTTGGCCTATGAATATGATAGTCACTTTAGTTGTGTAATAGTTTTATTTTATCCTTATATTTTCTAATATAGATTTGCAATATGCTGGTAACGCAAGGGGCCTACAGAATCCAGATTCTGTAAGACGGCTGATGGCAATAAGATAGAAGTGGGGAACAACATGCTTTGTGCTTATAATTTTCCATAAAGAGGTGAAGCAAGAATCTGCGTCAGGTCAAGTTTATTTTTTGAGCCTTACCCAGAATTTATTGTATAAATCTCCTAACATGGCAGTTATGGGTGTTTCGTCTCTTGATGGAATCCGAACAGATGGAACCTTGTTAACCACAGATTCTGTACAGCTTCCCACCCTTTGTGTGTGGTATAGGGACAGTGTCCAAGAAAGTCATCTGGCACCCATAATGAATATTAAAGATACCCAGAGATTTCTTCCAATTAAAGGTGCTACCCTCAGAAATCTTGGCGTCTTAAGCCCAGTTATGGAAAAGGGGTAGTATATCTGGTATGCTTCGGCACCCGAAAGGGATATTTAGGCCTAGGGATTGGAGAGATCGGAGCTGCAATCTGACACCTCGCAGAAAGAGAGCAGTCCGTCCTGGGTCGCATGAGTACAAGGTTAGAGAAACTCAGAACTTATTTCTATTCCTCTCTTTTGTAATGGCTTCTTTTCTTGTTTAAGTCTGTTTTTAGGAATCATACTAACACTTGCTCCCAGGTCACCAGGGGAAAGAAGCTACTCTTCTCCATCCAGCCTTGGAATCCTTGTGTGTATAGGAATTATTATTACTATTATTATCATTACTTTTTGTATACTTAGATAAGTTTGGGATTAATTGTGTTAATGACATCTTGGGAAGGAATTCAAGTGATTTGTGTTCTTACTGTAGTGTTTGCTGTGGTGATCATAATCATTATTCCATTAGCAATAAAACGGTTGTCTATTTCATTCCCCTAGTAGAAGTGTTGTTGTCCATCACCTATTGACCCTCAAGAGAGGAGCCTTGTGGTTCCATGGAATTGTAATCTGGGATAGAGGACAAATTTAGCTCTATTCTGATCAGATTGGAGAGCCTCACCCATCCAAAAGTGTTTGCTGTGGTGATCATAATCATTATTCCATTAGCAATAAAACGGTTGTCTATTTCATTCCCCTAGTAGAAGTGTTGTTGTCCATCACCTATTGACCCTCAAGAGAGGAGCCTTGTGGTTCCATGGAATTGTAATCTGGGATAGAGGACAAATTTAGCTCTATTCTGATCAGATTGGAGAGCCTCACCCATCCAAAATTTCATACACTGCTACTGAAACATTGGAATAAATTGCCCAGGGAGGTTGTGGAATCTCCATCTGTGGAGATATTTAAGAGTAGGTTAGATAAATGTCTATCAAAAATGGTCTAGACAGTATTTGGTCCTGCCATGAAAATAATGGGTTGGACTCGCTGAGCACACGGCGGTAGGTTTGCTCAGTCACCCTTCCCCCTCCGGACTATCCTTCTATCCTGAGCATCACAGCTTCTTGGCAGAGTCAGCCATTCCCAACGGAGAGGGAGGGCAGGTCAGGGAGGCATAGTCATGTTTCTGATGGGCTCAAATACCCAGAATCAGAATCCTAGGATCCTAGGGCTGGCAGAGACCTCAGGAGTCATTGAGTCCAACCCCTGCCCAAAGCAGGACCAATCCCAATGGGTATGGCTACACTAGCCACCCTAGTTCAGACTAGGATGGCTAATGTAGTCATTCGAATTTGCAAATGAAGCCCGGGATTTAAATATCCCGGGCTTCATTTGCATGTTCCCGGGTGCCGCCATTTTTAAATGCCCGATAGCTCGAACTACCTGCCCACGGCTACACGCGGCACGGGCTAGGTAGTTGGAATTAAAGCTTCTAATTCAAACTACCATTACTCCTCTTTGCAGGAGGAGTAACGGTAGTTCGAATTAAGAGTGTTAATTCGAACTACCTAGCCTGTGCCGCGTGTAGCCGTGGACAGGTAGTTCGAGCTACGGGGAATTTAAAATCCCAACCCAACTTACACACCCATCGTGTGTCATATAAAGATGGTTCTTAGTAACAAAAAGGAATAATAGTCAATATTGTTATTCATCTATCACAGCATGAACGTGACGGTGCCAGTTTAACCTATTTACTAGCTGCCTCAGCAATCCCCAACTTCTCCTGCCTGGGATCCTACATTGGAGCCACCACAATTCTTCCTGGGTCCCGTTTTCGATAGTCAATGACCCTTCCAGCATTGGGACTGCCCCTCTGTGACTGAACTCTGGGTCTTCCATACTGTATGTCTGTGGGGGGTGGGGGATAGAAGGGCTTAGGCACTGAAGAAAGGCAGGGAAGTCGAGCCCACTCAAAGTTACAACAGCTCACCTTGAGAGCAAGGAGAAGGGCCCCTCAGCTCCACTGCACAGCTGAGTGGTCTTTATTGGTGTCTACAGGGCGTCCCCACTGTAAGTCGCCCTGGCATACATCAATTCCACACTAAACTCATTGACACATGTAGGAACGGATGGGTTATAAGTCCTCCCATTCACTGCACTTAAGTCACCCACACAAAAAACACATTTTGCCCCACTTTAAGCTGTTTCACAAGTATTTTGGAATACATCTGGACTGACGGCGAGGATGGCCAGTACGTGTTTTTAATGGATTTTAGGGCAAATCTAATTTCAGTTCTTTTTTATAAGCTGTCCATGATTTTACTGACATCTGGATACACTGAATGTGTGCCATGCGATGGTACAATCTCGCTGTACACACACACACACACACACAAACACAGGTTTGGGCTGCACTTCTGAACAGGGCAGTGAAGCTGCTAAATTTGGAAATGAGAGCGAGCCAGGGAAAACCCTCACCACCCTAAAAAGGAAGTGACAGAGACACATAGAAGGACACAGTAGGAAACTTGGAATTCCTCTCATAATAATTTAAGAGTTGTCTGAATTCTTTTGAATACTTTTGATGTTCAATTTAATGAAGCAAACCCATTAGTGCTTCAGACAATATGGAGTAATTCAAGCAACTCCTGATGATTTCTTACCTTGGCTTAAAACCTCCTGATAAAGCCAGTGCTTACAGTGAGGTAGAAAGAGACACTTTCTGAAATCCTGGCCAGCAGAGAGAGGAAATCTCCTCACAGCGACAGGAAAGCAGGGCCCTGAGAATCAGCACAGGAATCTCACATGAAAGAACCTGAGTGCACTTTTCAGCCACCTTTATAATTGCTCAGCACAATCCCTGCCTCCTCTGCCTTTGGCAGCGCTCCCAGAAAATCCCCTTGGCTCTGTGAGCATCGGGTAGGGTAGAAAACAGACCCTGGAGAACATCAGCTTGAGAGCCTCTCCTGGGACTTAACAAATGTTCTGCCAAGGCCAGGGGCTCAGATTGTCAAGGCAAACTCAGTCTTGCAGACTCTTCAGGGTAGCAACTGATGATAGTTCTTGGGTACATATGTGAGTGTGTGTCTGTGTTTCTGTGTGTGTGTGTGTGAGAGATGTATTGCCATCTCCACTATGTTTGGAAATAAGTATCAGAGGGGTAGCCGTGTTAGTCTGAATCTGCAAAAGCGACGAGGAGTCCTGTGGCACCTTATAGACTAACTGAAGTGTAGGAGCATAAGCTTTCGTGGGCAAAGACCCACTTCGTCAGATGCATGTAGTGGAAATTTCCAGAGGCAGGAATAAATATGCAGGCCAGGATCAGGCTGGAGATGACCAGGTGGATCCAATCAAGGAGGATGAGGCCCACTTCTAGCAGCTGATCTCTAGAATTCTCTTGGAATTAACACCTCCAGATCAGCTGCTAGAAGTGGGCCTCATCCTCCTTGATTGGATCCACCTGGTCATCTCCAGCCTGATCCTGGCCTGCATATTTATTCCTGCCTCTGGAAATTTCCACTACATGCATCTGATGAAGTGGGTCTTTGCCCACGA